TAGGTATAAGTAGCGTAGCCCCTTTCTAATGAGCAGACGCTCGGCATTCATTCCCAGATCTTCATCATGGCGCCAATAGCAGTTGCAATTTCTCCAGACATCAAGGACACAGTCCCACCTGTAAGTACACTCAGGGTACAGCTTCCAAGTCCTGCTGCAAAGTATGTATATGACGCTACCTTGATAGCGTCTGAAACATAGTCTGCGTAGTCCAGGAACATGTACTAAATATCCAAAATTTTCAAGTATTTGCTAACCTGCTACCCCAATTTCAGAAGAAAGACACCTTAGGCCTCCCAGAAGCCGCTAGGAAACGGCTTGAAAAGGCTGGAATTGACCTTCAACACGGTTACCCTTACCGCCCCGCCAAGCCGCTTTATTTAGACGACATCCACAAAATCAGGGACTATGATCGCGAATTCGTTGATCCTGGCTCCCGAGCAGATCCTGCAAAGAAAGCGCTGCTGTCTGCGGCAAAAGAGGTTATACACTTGACGGCGCATATCGGGACAGAAATCGTCGGGTTGCAATTGAAAGACTTGACCGACCAGCAGAAAGATGAACTCGGTCTTTTGATAGCTGAGCGAAGCGTGGTATTCTTCCGTAACCAAGAGATCTCGCCACAGGAACAAAAGAAACTCGGCGAATGGTACGGGGAGATTGAAGTTCATGTTCGTGCTCGTAGTCCTTGATCTGTATTGAAATGCTGACTCTTGTTCTAGCCCCAAGTCCCGTCGGTTCCTGGTGTCTCTGGAGTCACGGTAATCTGGCCAGCACTGCAGGCAACAGAGTATCCAGCAAGCTTCCGAAATCCGGGGGGAGCTTCCCGGTGGCACACGGACCTTGTCCATGAGAGACAGCCCGCAGGGTAGGTCATGTGAATTCCTTAAGGCAACGTAGACCTGACTTGAAGCAGGGTTACGCATCTGCACAACGATACTGTTCCGACAATTGGAGGAGATACTCTTTGGGCTTCCGGTTATGCCGCGTATGAGAAGCTGTCTCCTGCTTTCCGCAAGATAATAGACGGAAGGGAAGCTGTGTATCGAAGCGCACATCCCTATCTCGACCGCGAAAACCCTAACGCTGGGCCGAAGTTCTTAGAAAGGGTACACCCGCTCGTGCGCGTTCATCCCGCGACTGGATGGAAGGCACTATGGGTGAACCGAGCAATGACGGTCCGCATCGTCGGTTTAGATAAGGCCGAGAGCGATTTGATTCTCGGGTACCTTTACGACGTGTATGAGAAGAACGTCGATATCCAGGTTCGCTTCAAATGGACGCCAGGGACTTCGGCGCTCTGGGACAATAGAATTACGATCCACAACGCAAGCTGGGATTATGCAGGAAATGAACCTCGTCATGGGACGAGGGTGACAGCTCTGGCGGAGAAGCCATTCTTCGACGAGAAGGCACCTACGAGACGCCAAGCGCTAGGTCTTGCAGGCCCTGAAGATATTTGATGAAGAGAGTGGTTGGAGGAGAGAGGAATCAACGAGAAGGAGCCTCGGCAACTATTTCAACTCTAATTAGTGCGTTTCAATTCATTAGACTGAACACTGAACTTCTATCCACCATCTTCCACTTCATCAGCCCTTTGACACTCTGCAATGATCAATTTGAAAGCAATTCATTCACCTATAGCGAGGTGCTTCCCCCTTCGCCTATTGTCGAAGTGGCCTTGAGCCCCTAGAAAGTGCCACGGACAATTGACGGCTTCTTCTTCTCATCTTAAACCTTCCTGTTTAATATGGGGAAGGAGTAATTAGATATGAAATATCTGTTCACATCTATTAGCTTTCTCCTCGAATTGAACTAATCGAATCTGAGGACTGAAACAATCACCTGAGCTCTTCTGAGTAGTGTACGTCGATAGCGGGGCCGGCGTTATTCGGATTTCGGACTCTGTTCTACCCTCCTACAACTTCTAATACTTGAGTGAGACGTTTCGAGCTTCGTTGAGCAGGTATGAAAAAGTTGATTAATGTGCCGAACCTCGACTACAAAGGAGACACAGCAGTTACCATGGGAGTGAACCTGACTCTCAGCCTACCAGCCAGTCTTAGCGACCACCAGGGTATAAGAACAAAGACATTCGAATATTGGTTCAGCGAAGATAGGATATGACGAGTGGAACAAATCCAGAATCGTTGTATTCACCACGATGTAGATATTGGCACGTTTTGGTCGGTACGCACCAAATAACGAGCGTCATCTGAAATATACTCCTTTTTATGATTGGGCATACAAGGGAAGCTAAAGTATCACCACATATGGCCAATTGAAGAGAGGGAGGCTACGCGATCAGCTCCGAAAATGCGTCCAAATCCTTGTTCGAATTCTCGGATTCCACAGTTTCACCCAAGAAAAGAGGAGCTGAAATGGAGCTGACGCTCGCTTCGAAATAATGTCGTGGTGGTGTGCACAGCATCTGTCATTCCACATCCCGTCTCATATCGGAAAGGATATTGGTTCCTCAGTGTCAGCCCCTCACTCTAGGTCATTCTGTCAATTCATTTTCGTGTGAAACTAACCAGCCCCAGAGCTGAAGACCTCTTTGAGCTGTACGATTCGCGTTCCACCCGCGGGGCCGAGGGCTGGAAATGATGTAGCCAAGAAACATGGTTGTGGGTAGGTGGGGTTGCTGCAAGGTACACCACAATAACTAATATAAACGGACCCGATCTGTCGTACGACCTACAACCTGATTGGAAATAACTAAATACCCCTCAGCGCGGAATAATATGGCGCCTGCGCGTCCGGGTAAGGTTCACGATGGCTTGCAGCGAGGAAGGGGCAAATTCCAAAGATTTTTCGTTCTCTTCTGGTTACAATCCGGGATATTTAAGCTGAGGGTTGTCCTCGAGGTTGTCGTTTCAAACATTCACGCTCTGCCCATACCGCCAAGCCTTGGAGGTCGATCCCCCACAACTTGAGGCACGATGAGATCCCTGCAAGCCGTGGTACTCTCGATAGCTATTTTCAACGTCGTATCTTCTTCTCCCGCTCCAGCCCCATCTCTGGAACCTTTGGGAACCCCTATCGAGCGTCCCCCGGACTTCAATCCTGTCCCAGTTCCGGGAACAGCTTCTGGAGCCGGAGCGCCGGTTCTCAATAGTTTTGTGTCATTCTCAATTGAACTTGCCTTTTTCCCGGATTTTGCGGGGAATAAGTTGGTCCCGAATACCTTCTCGGATACGCTTTTGAATAATCTCAAGGAATTCCAGGGGTCGAAGCCAAATATACGCGTGGGAGGTAATACTCAGTATGCGAATCAACTCTCAGATTCCTCAATTTATAGTATCTAACGTATGCATACTCTAGGGACTACGCTCTCTTTGACCCGACTCTCAAAACCGCCACCAAAGGCACCTATATCCCCTCAATTTCCAACGACTATCCTCGCATCTTATCCATTGGATCTCTCTTCTTTGAATCATACCAAACTTGGCCCGACGTCCAATTTATACACGGCTTCAATCTCGCTAAGAATGACACCGCAGCCTCTACTAGCCTATCAGACTCCGTTCCTTATGCCTGCGAAGCGCTGTCCAAAAACAACCTGTTTTCCTGGGAGATGGGGAATGAGCCTGATCTCTTCAAGACGTCTGCGCAGGGCATCATGCGTCCGGCATCTTGGAGTGAGGCAGATTATGTCAAGGAGTGGAATGCGAAGGTGACTAGTGTCAAGGATGCGCTGAAGAAAAGCTGTGGCGAGGAGTGGGTGAGTAGTCAAAAGTTCAAGTGGATAGCGCCAAGTTTTGCGGGAACGAAGAATAGCCTTGATACTGTGAAGGCGTGGAAGGCTGGGCTGGATGCGAGTGGTGATATTGCTCAGTTCTCCTCACACAAGTAAGCCTCAGCATATCACATAAACGTTGGTCATTTCTTAACAGAATCTAGCTACATCGGTGGCGCCACTCAACCTGGTGTAACTCTCGCCGGCACTCTCATGAATCATACGAAGACTGTAGCAAGCATAGCTAACCACAACGCCGAGCAAAACGCCCTCTCCAACGCCGGCCTATCTCACCCCTACATCCTCGGCGAGACCAACTCCCTCTACAACCAAGGCGCACCCGGCCTCTCCAACTCCTTTGGTGCCGCACTCTGGGGCGTAGACTTCAACCTGATGTGCGCGGCGACATCCATCTCGCAAGTGTACATGCACCAGGGCACCGACTACCGGTACTCGAGCTGGCAGCCACTCACGACCTCTAAAACCACTCTCGGGACGAAACCCCCGTATTACGGAAACATCGCCGTGGCTGCCGCCCTGGGAAACATCACAGCAGGTGAAGTACGGGTTCGCAACATCCCGCTCAGCGACTCCGAGACTATAGCCGCGTACGCGATATACGCGAGCTCCAAACTCGCGCGCCTCATGGTCATCAATCTAAAGCAATACAACTACTCCGTCCCCGTCCCGGACGTGCGCCTGGAAACGGCATATAATTTCACAGTGCCGGTGGAATGCGCAGGGATAGGCATGGTACAGAGACTGATTGCGAATGGCTCGGATGCTACGACGGGGATCACGTTTAATGGGGCGAGCTATGAGTATGAAGTTGCTAAGGGGAAACCAAGACTAATGGGGAATGTGACCAAAGATGAGACGGTTTGGGTGGGGGAGGATGGAGGGGTGGCGATTTGGGTGCCGTGGAGTAGCGCGGCTTTGGTGCAGTTATCATGTTGAGGGAGGGGAGTGTGAAGGATGAAGAACAAAGTGGTCGCTCTGGCTAGGATAGAACATATAGGCAGGTACATCTCAAATCAATGTACAGCTTGTTTCATGGGCGTGGCAGATATAGCAGCATTTTGCAGGAGCGAGTTCTAATCCTTTTGTCTCTTTTCTAGAATAAAGTGGGATCGACCTAGACTCCAAGCAGCAGAGGGTCACTTCACCTATTCAATTTGATCCTTTTGACTACAGGCAACAGGAAGTTTACTGTAAGCACATCTGCCTAAGTAGGCAAGGTAGATATAATAGGAGCTATAGTGTCCGATCCAATTTCTCTAGGTACAGAATTCAAGACGGAAAACGGAGGAGCACTAGGAATAAGAGAGCTATAACCACCAACATCGTCCCCACCCTCACACAAAGAAATCTCAAGGGTCAAGGTCCATCATGAAAACATCCCCATTCCCATCATACCAAGCATCACAGCCCCTGACGTCAACAAAATCGACCCACTCGTCGTTCTCAATACTAAGAGCCTTCTCCATCCGTTTGACTAGGATTTGAGATGAGTTACCGTCAAAGCCTATCGAGCTCTCTACTTCTGGCTCGGGCGTGGCGATCGTAGTAGGGCTAGGATCTGAAGGCGGAAGCGGTGGTCTAACGTCACCACCGGTAATCTCGTCATGCGCAATACCACTACGGCAGATATACCGCCGTGACGGACTTACCGTGCTCGGCTGGCTCTGCACCTGCCATGTCTTACTCATTGAGTTGAGAGCAAATGCCCAGATTGTGATATCGGGTAGGGTCACAATAGCAAGCTCGCAGACCCCGTTCAAGGTCCCGATCGTCGTACCACGAATTGCAATAGGCCATATGGGATTGATGAGGTCTGGGCGATGCAATGCGTAGGGCTCGTCCCACCAGTTGAGCCAGTGGTCCTTGGTACGGCCAGCAGTGGTAAATGGGGGCGCGGTGTAGACGTCCCAGCTCTCTGCCTTCTGCTCTAGTCTGGAGAGGGTGAAGACGTCTGGTGGGACGCTATAAAGTACGATGGAATCGCCGAAAGCGACAACCACTCGCGCGCCCCACGTCAGATCCGCAGCCGCGGTGTATAGGTGAGGGCTTTGATTGCCTTCTGGGGGGACGAAGAGGATCTTGCGAAGAAGCTTTGTTGGCCCGCCAAGAGGCGCGTCACAACCGAGGAAGAGCTTGCCGGTCGGAGGGTCTATGAAAAGAACGTGATGACCGTCACTGAGAGGAATGGCATGGTAGTGGTCGCAGCTCGATAATCCCTGACGACGGGTATTGTTTTCAAGTCCAAACGAGCTCCAGATTGAACTCAGAGTGGGCGGCCCGAAGAAGAATTTGCGACATATAGCAGGGCGGTCATCGGGATGTGCAGCGCTGGAGATGAGTCGCAGTTTCTTAGCTGATTCAAAGCCTGGACGGGGAGATAAGAAGTAGAGATAGTCGGATGGCGCCGTGAGCGGGAACCATCGACTCAAACTCTGGCCAGTAAGAGCGTCAATCCAATGCAGCTCGATACCTGCAGAGCACCCAAAAGCAACGCAGCGACGTTGTGGGCAGATCGAGACACTACGCGGTGGATCGTCTTCGGAACACAAGTGTCGGTAGAACGTAGAGGTGCCGCTTTCAATGGGAATACTTCGTGCACAAGCCCCTGTAGAGCTTGAGTTAACTCTGCGTTTGGACTCTGGAGGCGTCCCCCGGAGAGTCAAGTTCCACGTCTCATTGATGTAATTCTGATCATACGTACGATGGTCGTCAGTGCCCTGTAGAGAGATAGCCTGGTAATTAGCTTGGACATCAACAGAGCTGAAGGTTGCACGGTCGAGCTCATCTGTGTTGGGCCGGGAGCATCGACGCCTGAGTGAGGTCAGATCGGCAATATCCATGCCGGCCTCATACTCGCTTGCGCGGCTTGTGATGATGGAAGCCTTTGTTGTAGTGCGATAAGGATGTCCATGGCTTTCGATATGCAATTCGACGGGGCTTTCAATACCCGTGCTACGGCCACACCGGAGCTCGCACACCATGCCCATCCTCCCTTCGAGTAGAGCTGCAACAGCATTTCTGCCTGAAGAAACATTCATGCTCATAGAAAGAACTCTCCTTGGACAGCTAACGCTAGTAAGCGGCCTCAGAGTCCCGCCGCGAAGGTCGTAGATGTAGATCAGGGTATCTCTCGCGACAAGCAATAGTTGACCACAGATGCTGGTTGTGAAAACAAGTCCGGCTTTGTGACGACTAGTAGATGGAGTATATCCACTTGCCAAATCCGCGAAATCGGTCTGTGACACTTCTGAGAAAGAGCTTTGACTGCTGATACTATCCAGACCGTTGCCTGTCCACGCCGACGACAAAGAACATTCCCTTGAGAGACGCCGGCTTAGAAACCACTCTTGGCTAGTAGATTCTGAGTCGGGAGCGAGATTCATTGCCAGTTTTCTCTGATTGAGGTCGGACTCAACGCTACTCCACCATCCACCCCGACCCAGCATGGTGACTAGCAATTTCTTGCTCAAGCTTGCCCGCATCCAGTTTCTACACGTGTGTCGGGCGGCATTAAAGTCCTTCGGGCCGAGATAAATGTATACCTGCTCCAAAATCTCTGTGGGAACACCGTATGCAGGTGGGAATTTCGGCGGCGCAACAAGGTCGAGTGTGGAATGCCACGATTGACACGTCAGCCTCATTGCCCTCCACGACGGAGGATCTAAATACGGTAAGAGAAGTAACGCCAAAACAGCGTCGAGTGCCGGTGGACTGGATGCAATTCGCTGTGATGGGTCATCTTCCCCAGTAAAGACGTCCTCCTCAAGATCCTCCGCTATAGGTCTTCCCAATTCCTCATACGACGCACTCATTCCTAGTAGAACATCAGACATACTGCGGGTGATGCCATGGTCCATTAAAGGTTCTAGTATAGCATCGTCCAGAAGACTAACGCTATCAATGGAGAACGTCGCTGACTGTACACGACGAAGTGAATGTGATTCGCTGTCATATTCCGTTACGCTAGGTAGCCGTGAAGTAGAGGTGCTCAGAGAGCCGGAATGAGTCGATCTCAAACTTGGGCCACTAAAAATGAATGCCCCTGGTGACACGACGTCCAAATTTTGTATGGAATCGTAGATAGAACCAGGCCCTGAGCGTGTACTAGAAGCACTTGAACCTGCGTGTTTGCTTCCTGGGTGAGACATATCAGGTATGGGACTGCTATTGTTGAAGAACGACGTGATAACCTTGTGAAAAGCAACTCGCGATTTTGACTGCTTGATTGTCGATAGAGCGCTTCGCCGATACCCTGGCTTTATAACCCGCTCCATAGGCTGTTTGTTCAGAGGAGGGACACCGCGAGAGGGACGTGGAAAGACGTTGCGGAGGACTTCTGATCGCTTCGTGGAAGATGCTGGGACGTCGGGAGGGTCGTTTGAGCTAGGCGTTGGCCCCGTAGCGTGATGATCCCCATTCACCTGCGGGGGATGTACCCCCTGTGAACCACCATTTGTATGCGCGGAAGGTTCAGATGAATAGGACATTCTTTCGACACAAGACCGAGTCGGTGGGTTTAAGGATAGAGTATGTTTGTGTGGCGATTCGAAGTACAAAGCAATCGGTGGGAGAGTAGGTTCTTGAAGAGGAAGAGCGGGCGCAGATTGTGTTCCGGCAACTCCCCGAGAGAGGTAAATCTGGGAAGACGTTGTTGTGGCACCCCCTATTGGAGGGGCGGGAAATTCGAAAGACGATATTTAGTAATAGCAGGACCTAGGATAATAATGCGATGGGCGTAATGCAGAGTATGGGTATAAACGAGCGACAACCGTTAGTAACGCATGTATACGCCAATGCTACTGCTGGAGGAAGGCCAGAGAAGAAGATGATGGATGTGGGTGTTGGGTAGCGATTAAGAATTACAAGTCAAACAATTTCGTCTTAGGGTATAAAACAGCCAAGCAGGAAGGAAAGAATCGAAGCGTGTCGAAGAAGGCACAATTCGAAGATATACAAGAAGGAGCGTTCCCAAATATGTTTACAAAAGAAGGCGTGAGCTCTATACATCTTGCTCGCCAATCACACTGTGCATCGCAGAGCTATTCTGAGACCTTGCCTGCTTGTTCACAATCCATACATCGTCCAGACTATCATTGTAAAAGTCAGTCTCACATCAGTTATTGTGGGTAGGATACTCACGCCATTATCAAGCTGGGATTTTCAAACCGCAGGCCGCTCTCTCGCGCCTCGTCCAGCGTCTGTCGACCCACAGGGACTCGGCGATGTTGATTCTCAGGGGAGAAAGATTCTTCCTGAACGTCTCGCCCTAAATCAGAATGTTCGGTACGACGGAGGCTTCGCAAGGCGATGAACTTCATTAATGGCCGGTAGGTTCGACCATATACATATCCGAACCACAAGGTTGCAACGACAAGCGGAGTTATGAGAGCAGCCCGCTTGAAAGCCTTTTTCAAAGCGAGTTGACCAGCGAGAGTAACTTGGAAAAGGACGACCCCTACGATAACCCGGTCACACATCATTGTCCATCCTTTGCCGGTAGAATGTTGCCGGTGTTCCATTGCATAGAGTAGTTGGTACTTGTGAACGAAGTGTCCGATCATGAAATATGCGAGACCTGTGAGCAAGACTTTCCAAGAGTCCTCAAGCACACTGTAAACCACGCAGATGATAAATATTAGAATTGTCTGGGGCAAGAAGAAACCGTAGCTGAATACTGGAGGTTGGACCAGCTCTGCGTAGTCTAGATTGAATATTTAGCATCATTTGGTGTCTATGTGGCGATGCAACATACCTCGAGGGGTTTTCGCGCCCATCAAGTTGATTGGGTACAAGGATAGAGCACCGAATTCCATGAGGCGCAAGGGGAAGAGGCCAAAGCCCTGCAAGATGATGAAATTGGTGTAAAAACCTAGTAAGTTCTTCAGCGATTCGGCAAGGGCATACGCGATGCTTGAGGCGCTGGAGAGTTTTTCTCCGAAGCGTTCAATCATGTCCAGTAGGCCTGAGGCGGTCCCAAGAATGGTGAACACAATGAAAAAGTTGAAAAAGGTGAAAAAGAAGTTTTTCGAGATTAGCGAGAGCTCAACGTCACCCTGTGATATCATGCCCTGCAGATTCGACAACCCTATACTACAATTAGTGTTGATTCAAAGTGGGAGGGATTTTACTTACAGTCGTATAAGTAAGGGACGACGACGTTAAGCAGGGTGAGTGCTAGCGTGGGCAACTGGGTATTGACGAGAGATTTCAAGAGTACATTTGTTTCCAATGCATCCGCTAGTCCAGGAAATACTTCATGGATGGAGCATATGTTCAGAGCTCCAGCAATTGGCACAAGCAAAACTGTCCAAAAGACGCTAAGAACCCCAATGAGAGCAGTGATAGACCAGGCTCGAAGCATCCTCTTCGAGCGGGGAAGGTACGTGTTTGACCAAACAACATCCGACGGCGCCGGGCTACTGTTCGCCAGTAATTGCAGTGGTGAAGGATCCAGAACGGCTTGGATGGCCATTTGAGCACTCGCAACGCTGTCCATGGTAACAAATGCTAGCGGGGTGGGCTCGAAATCCTGTTTTCGTAAAACTTTGATTTCTTCATCCAACTTGCGTAACTTTTCCTCATAATAGTTGATCGCATCAACATTCCTGTAGCGCAGCTTGAAGCGACCATACCAAATTTTTGCAATTGGTCTCTGTCGAGCATAGGGAATAACGTAGTCGGGATCTCTGTCGGTGTCGGCAAGGAGATGGCTAGCTTCGTTGTCGTCAGGGTTGTCTTCAACACGGACATCCGGGCCAGGTGGTAGTGGCTGAACGACAGGCAGTGTCTCGAGACTCCTCTCTATCCTGCGCTTTCCCAGATAGACCGTCCAAGCTTCCTCGAGCTTTCTCAATTGAACACTTCTCTGGGCAACACGATCATCCAATTCTTTCCAGTTCTTGCAAAGCGTGACACTCTCCACTTTTCCAATCTCCAAGTTTTCGATAAATTCCTTGATCTTTTCTTCGGACCTGAAGTCGAGAGGTATTCCCGACAACTTAATAGTGCGGTCTGTGATAGTTGTTTGGCTACCCAAGTACTCCTGTCGGATCTCGATTATTCTTCTTGTCTCGGAAACAATTAGGTACACGATCAGCGCAGTGAAAAGATAGGCGAAGACAAGGTACATCCATAGGTAGTCAGTGTAGTACTCGTAGTTGGCAGCTCCTGTGGCCCAAATCGAACGGGCCTCGACATGCTCGAGGATACCAGTAGGGCCAATTTTCGTCAAATCAGAGGCTATGAGACCTGCCCCATTTCCGCCTTTCCCTTCTTCTTTATCTTTGTGCGTATCGTGCACCGGTTTGATGACTGCCAGCCCGAAAAATAGGGTAACGAGGAGGAATTTAATGGCCATCTTGAAGAATGCGAGATACTGGAGCCAGGAGTTAGCACACCACAACATGCCCTAGAGGTCTCAAGGAAGAGCATACCACGAAGGCATCTAGACCAGCCGATGCCAGCACCTGCTCCTCTGTGATTCTCCATAGCGGTAGTATCCACCCAAAGAAACTGTCCGGGAGTTCAGGGAGCGCCGTCGCATGGCTGTTTTGCTTTTTGCGTGCCGCATAAAGGCCTTTCCATCGCGGTCGCAGGAGCTTATGGAGACGGTTAGCAGCGTTCAAAAGGGGTTAGGAGTCGGATGGGCGTACACAAAAGGTCATGAAAGCGCTCAGGCCCAGTGCAGCAGAGAGATATATCTGGATCCGTACGTCCCTTTGGCGCGTGGGTACCAAGAGATCATCCTGCTCGCTCCCGCAGGTCAAGTTCCTGCCTTTCATTCGGGAATAGTAGTGGAGGCGGCCGCCTCTGGTGATAGATGCTGGGATAACGCTGTGTGCCGGCAAAACATGATGCGGCGATGAGTTGTCGCGCGAGCGCGTGAATCTGATTAGCACTAGCGCCTGCTGATGTCATTGCGCAGCTTACCTCATCGAGTTAACTGGTACCTGCCTCAACACGAAACACCATTGATCATTCTACTCGCCCTTTCAATACTCTTTGCAGGCTCACGCCTCATTTGCACTGACACTCTCTGCACACCTCACGTTTGAGGGTAAAATTAGCCACTAACAACCAACACTAACGTCAGCCTTTCCTCAGGCCCCCGGCAATGGCCACGCACCAAGAGAAAGCGCGCTTGACCACCAGCCGTCAACCGGCTTATAAGAAACCGACGCTATTCATTGAAGTCCAACTAAATGAACAAACGAGCGACGATTTCCTATTCCCTAATGACATTAGACGTGAAGTACACGAATGGCTTGAGAAAAGCTTTCATCAGGTGACGGTGGCCCAGCATCTTGACGCGAGTGGGTTTGGCATCTGAATATGCTTATCGCCTTACTTCATATTACTGACATATGTGGCTGTCTAGAATCCCTACTATGCTACCAGAGTGTCCGGTCCTTGGAAATCACAGATTACTCCCATGCAAAAGTCTATCCAGACAAGACGTGGCATGCCCTGACGGAATGCGACCTTGATATTGCCGTCTATTCCCTCTTTGACGGCAGAGATGAAGAGTATTCGGCAAGCCAGCCCGGGGATGAAAACTCTCCTCACTTTAACGTCACACAACTGCCCCATACGGCATTAGATGGACTATGGGAGTCCTTGATCTTTGCAGAGCCAATCCCGCAACTTCAGCTTCGAATTCTGACGCGTATGATGAGGATCTCTAAAGAGCTCCATCTTAATCCAGCAGTCATCTGTTGGCACAATCTCGTCCTGCTTTACGGACCGCCTGGATCTGGAAAGACTACTCTTGCACAGGCCCTAGCCCAGAAGTTGAGCATCCGCCTGTCACAAGCCTATTCTGCGATAAAACTCGTCGAGATTAACTCATCTACCCTACTAAGTAAATGGTTTGGCGAGAGCAGCAAGCTCGTGGGGAAGCTGTTTGAAACCATCTCAACTATTTGCTTGGACGAGTCACTGCTTACAGTGGTACTGATCGATGAAGTCGAGTCCATGGCAGGCTCGAGGGAGAAGGCGTCTCAGGGTAATGAGTGCAGTGATGCAATTCGAGTAAGCTGCGTTGACAGCGTACAAGGGGTTAGGCACTAACGGATTCAACCAGTCTACGAACGAGCTACTCCAAGGCCTGGACAGGCTGCGCAGGCACCCAAATGTCATCTTCATCTTCACCAGCAATCTCATCGACAACATAGATCCTGCTTTCGTGGATCGATGTAGGATCAAGCAGTATGTGGGAATACCAAGTGTCAAATGCGTCTATGAGATATTCCGTTCGGTGATCAACGAGCTCATTAGGACCAATCTAGTCTTGTTCGATTCATCAGACCTTGACCATACGACTAGCCCGCTGCTGCATATCAAAGTGAGTGCCCCCCCTCAAGATGAGAGCTATGGAGGGGCCCCCGAGACTCCGACTTTCATACCCGAATTCGAGTGGGTGATAACTCACCTATCCAATCGGCACTCGACAGCACCTTGGGAACTCCAAGAAATTGCAAGACTAGCCGAGGGGCTTTCTGGCCGTACGCTCCGTGGACTTCCGATGCTTGCGATGACAAAGTACACCATGGACGAGCCGTGCGACTTACGGGATCTTCTTGCCGCGTTGAGGAAGGCTATTAAAGAGGAGGGCAACGTCACGGGCAAGAGTGACGGAGGGCCGGACAAGCAAAAACATGCGGTAGGCGAAGAGGATCTAGCATCCGCCGATCA